GTTATCTTCAACTATGCCTTATTCAACATGTACTAGAGTGTGGGTGTAGGTGTAGTCATCTGCTAGTCATACTCACATCCATACCCACACCCACACCCTCACGGACTCTTCTATTGCGCAGTTCTTGATAGTGTGATTGATTTATACTACATTCAAAGGAGAGCTAAATCTTTTTTATTTGAAAGATAAAGTTTTATATCGAAAACACAATCTACATTTTAAAGAATGCGTTTATAATCGACAGAAACATCTTTTTTCTCTGATGGAACATAGCTATTGCTGTTACACTGGAAGTAAGATAAAAAAAATCTGTTCGATAGAACTGATCATGTAAGCTATATCAAAGATGAAAATGAAACATTATTTTTTATGGCAACTGCCTTTTGAATTGAGTCGTTTAGAGAAAGGACAAGTAGTGGTACACTGAAAACAAAAAAGTTTTCGTAGTTTTGTAACGAATTCGAAACCCTCAGGAAGACGTACAAAGCATCCAGCAAAATGTTTTGAGGGTTTCGTAGTACTATACGAAACCGAATAAGGGTTTCAAATTCGTTACAAACTGCGAAACCTAAAAAGGGTTTCGTGCATATCACAAAACCCTTTTTTATTTTCAGTGTAGGGGTGTAGGTGTAATCTAAGTGTATCTCTTCCCTTTACCTAGGCACTCAAATCTATAACTACACCCATACCATGTACTATGACCTTCTGAGAGATACTCATCTTATAGTTATTTCAACATGACTGCTGAGAAAGTGATTATGATCTAATTGATCTGATCTTTGGTTCCCTATTGTCAGATAGTAAGAGAAGAGGAGTGTTACTTCCGTTCTCTAGACTTTATGGCCGATTGATCATGCCTGAGAACATTTATGAAAATCATTTTTATTATCATCTAGCTACTCAGATTTCGAACTCGCATTCATCGAGAAAGAAGTGCTGAAACTATCATCAACGATAAACATATCAACTAGAAAAGTTCAATGCTTGGCTACACACGCTGCTGGAAACTCCCCACAATGATGGGCCCGCTAGGTATTGTGTGGGTGTGTGGTGGATGTGGATGTGGATATGAATAAAGAGTAAACCCACATCCTTATTTTTTATGTAGATACTGTTTGACGATCAGTAAGAAACTTTAGAAAAGTACAAGTCACTTCTAAGTATATGGTAACCAACTAGAAAATCTATTTAAAAGCCTTATTTTTTCATCCATATGATTTATATAGTTTAGAAGAGTCTTCCGTTTATATTTGAAAGGTATATTAAAACAAGGATGACAAATATGATTCAGACACAGTCAAATCCCAAACCAATGTCATCATTATCCCCAACACCCATCCATTCAGTTATATCTTTAGTACACCCAACTTCCACAACATTCGGGTGATAAGTTTTAATGCTAGTTCTCGCTGTTGTTTTACCATGATCAGTATACCAATATGTGGCGCCCATTTTTGGCATTGGCATTGAATCAAGTTTGTCTAATCCTAAGTAATGACCAGTTTTCTTATCGGTATACAAGATAACCGGAAAGATACCAGCAGCATCAATAGCATTTCCAATCCAAGCTTCTACAGCTAGTGGTTGCATGTCTTTAATGCCCCATTTCTTTGTAATTATCCATTCACCACCAAAATCTAAGAATCGAGAATTGTAATTATAGACTTCACAAATATAATCACAAGATTTTGACCATGTACATGTTTTGGTAACGGAATCATACATAAAGAATCCAGTTGCATTAAAATAATAATAATCAGTACCTGCAGTAACAATAAGTAGTTTATTCAGGTCATCCATTATCCATGTCGAATCAGTAACAAAATCAAGTGCCTGAATGCCAAAGATACCATATCCATAATTACTTGGTAATGGATAAGGTAATTTATGCTCATCAAGATTTTTATTTGGGCATTTATTACTATCCTTATTTTTGCAGATTTGAAAATAGCCAGTAGATTGTAATGGTATTCCCATAGTGAATTGATGATGAGCTTTACCAAAAGGTGGTTGATTATCTATCAAATTTTCTGGGACAGGAAAAGGAGCACCAGATAGAATAATATCTATAGCATATAATTTATAATCTAAAGCACTGACATATAATACGACCAATTGAGTATTTGGTAGAGTTTGACAACCTGAGCCTACACCATTGTATCCAATTGGTGGACATTCATAATTCAAATTATAATTATCAATATTGCCCAAAACAGTTAATGCACCGATTTGCGCGTAATACATTTGATTTGTATCAGAATCAATATAGGTAGTGTAATTTGTAGTCAAATTTGAAATTTGACTCCAATCAAAGGTTAAACAATTATTTGAAACGCTACCATTTGTGCTCAAATTCAAAGTAGTTTTCATACAAGACGATGGAATTCGTTGCATATAGAAAAAGCCATCACATAAAACTGCAAAATTACGACATGCATAGGTCAAATAAGGACAGATCGAGTATAATAGAAACGAACAAACCTGTTTTAGTGAGAAGAAGGATTGAGAATGTCAAGACTATTAAAATATTGATCATAGACCTGATTATCATTGGATCGTACAAGGATACTACTTGCAATTTCGGTTTCTAGGATTTTTCTTCTGATATGATCTATCAAAGAGACAGTGTAGAATAAACTCTGTTTTGTTGTTTTTTCGGCGCAATACAGCGTACACACGTGCGAACAGATATGAGTAAGTAATTATGCTTTCATTATGTTGTTCTACCTACCTCTATACATTCGTCTTCTGTATGAATCGAGATTTTTTATCTACGAATACTGAGTGTAATCACGATTATGTCGTCGTCAAACATTTCAAACTAGCGTTATATTCTCAAAAAATATGTTGACGTATTTCCTCTATGATTAGAAATGAAAAAAATACATATGCCAAAAAACTAATCATCATAAATGTCGCTCATTTCTACTATATTCGTGATGTATAATAGTAAAAGTTTTAGTCGTATATTAATTCCGATATTGTTATGGTAGTTCTATTCTAACTGTGACCTAGAAACAATATTTCAAAGTGTACGCAACAATACAATATCGTGACTACATCATAAACAGCAATATTCTTTTAACGACTGAATGATACGTTTTTTCTTGAAAATAGTCACATGTTGTTCCCTAGAAATAATCCAACCAAACCTTCACAATAGTTCGATCTCAAAGTCGAGTCGTCCATGAAGGATAGTCAAATATGGATGTTATAATTTAGAGCAGCAACAGTAATACTTGCTACACAGTGATTCATTACATGATGGCGCTCTTATGTAAAGGTAACGATGTAAGAGTCTTGCGCAGAAGGCCAAAGTCTGCGTATACGAAAGATTAAGTTAGGAGGTATTAGTCTTTGTATTGTTTTTTCAGCTTCCCTGCAATTGTGATGGAGTGAAGTAATAGCAATAGTAAAGATTATCATGCCCACTTTTTCTTTCATATTTCTGAATCCAACTATTCATCGCTCTCTAATCCATGTGTATTAGATTATGTTGAATGTTAATTCTACTGAAAGATCATTACTATTTCTCATTGCTGTTTATATAATGGCAGTGTTTTCTTTATAACTTATGTGAACATGCAAACAAGTACCTTGAATCGGTACGCTAAAAAGATTCGTTTTGACTTGTGGCTAGGAGGGTGGATATTGTCATAAGGTAGTACCAAACAACCATTTACATTCATATCACACTGACTTAGTAATTATAAGCTTAAAGAAATGCTATTGTCGTATGTTGATCATGAAAAATATCAGAAAATATTTTTTCTTATTTTTGAAAGCAAGGTCGGTAACATGTCGGATGATTTGATATAAATCTGTAATTACTGAAAAATCAATTACATTATGTATAGAAACTGAATGAAATTTAATGATAATGTAATTCAGCTAGTATAATTCTAAAATTTGAATTAAAGGCTATCAGAAAAGTGAAAGAACTGAATGGCTCATTTTGTTCGCCATTACCACAAATTTCATAGAATCTTATGTTTTGTTTTCTATTCATATGTATATATATGTATGTATATAGGTGTCCTTTTTTAGGATGAAGTACTAGAAGTTCTAGGATATCTTCAGAATATATTTACACATGTACATATCCGAATTCAAAAAGAAAGGCTAGGTTTATAAATGTACAATTATATGAATAATTCTAAAGGTCCCCGAGACTCCTTGGTCCCCTATCCCTAAAAAACACACCCATATACACATATATACGTATGAATAATTCAAAAGACCCCCAGGCCCCATTTCAATTTGGAATCGATGTCTATTTTTTATTCTAAATTTAGATTGAAATAAAATACACTATTATATGCAATTATGATCTACTGTCGAGGACTTACACACATATTTCTCACTATATGGCGTGTGTTATTGATCTTGTTAAAGATAGAGTGTGTTTTTTCCCTTTTTTTCAGATATATAGAATCTGCATACGCCGATAATAACTATTTCAAGCAAGATTACTTTCAATCCAAAATTTTCTTTGCTATTCTTCATATCCATGAATCAAGTGCGATCTTTCCTCACAAGAAAAACATTCGAACGATGGGTTGTTTTCTTTATGGTCATCAGTATATGCTAATCTGAATATTTTCACTCCCTGATAAGTAAAAGGAATATATTCTGATGTGTAAAAATTAATGGAGGAAAAGATCCAGAGAAAAACAATTCTTCTTTGTCGTTTTCGTTTTTCTTTCTTTCAGTAGATAACGTTAACAAAACATTATGTTCTTATTTCGTTGCAATGTTCTATTTCTTTCTGGTCTTTATCACAGTAGTTGCGCTCACTGCAAGTAAAAAGAATCCACTGAAATGAGCAAGCGATAATGAGAGGGAGAATTATGGCAAGATAAAATGATCTTCTTGTCGATTTCTGGTTTTCTTCTTTCAGTAGGCATTAGGGGACCAAAATTTATCTTCGTTTTTCGTTGTTACATTTGCTCTGTATAGATTTTGCTCCAGTCGTCGTGTGGTGTGAGGTGCATTTTGGAATTCCGTCAAAGAATTGAAAAGAAGCCGTATAAATAGAGACCAACGACGTAAAAACACTTACACTTGCTATTTTGTCGTTTCTTGCGCAGGTAATCAATGTTGACAGCAACTTCCTAGGTTTTTTCGGTCCTACATTTATTCTCTTTTTATCTTTTATGCTAGTAGTTGTTGTCTCTGACGAGTACATGAATTTTATTGAGGATGCAGACAAAAATCAGAGAAAAATGAAAACGACAATGAAAATGAATCCTTGTGCTCCATTTCACTTTCATCGAAGGGAAAGTTTAATGGTAGTCAGTTAATATTTATGATATCATTGTATGTTAGAGGTCCAGCTTGTTTTTTCGGAACATGTGACTTCGGTCTCTCACCTGATTACAAGATTTTGAGCTCACATTTTGCCTATAATTAGAAGTCTACAATAGTAGGCAAGTCTTCATAGGATTCTTTTTTCTATTGAGTTTCGCTGAGAAATCAAGTTTCAAAGATACAGATATTTGCTGCTATTTAAGCGAAAAACTTTTCTTCCACAGTAAATACGAAAAGGCCCTGTAGCCGTGAAAACCCGATAGCTCAGCCGAAACTCGACGAAAAAAATAATTCTCTGAACTTTGTGCTAGTCTAATGATCTTATTTATCAGCAAAACTATGACCGCAAAATATTCTAACCAAATGAGGGAATCTCGTTAAATATTCCTAGAAAACAAGCTGGGTCTTCAACACTAGGTATCATGAAAAATTTTTTGGGACAAAGCATTTTTCTATTCACTACTCATGTAATTTGCCTAGAACATGAGTCAAAAAAAGTCCTAAAAGTGTTGCGTATCCCGAGCATTTACTGAAGACTTTTCTGTGCAATTATTATTTCAAGTAAGTTTGGCATGTTTTTTTAGACAACTATGTCGGGCAAGTTTTATCACGGTAATTCTAACCGTGACAATAATTTTTGGATTTATCCACGAAATTAAAAATTGGAAGTTTCTCAATGGGATACTTACAATGCAGATGATCTATGTAATAACTATACTTATCTTGGAACAAGTGGATGATCCAAACTAAAGACATATCGTTGTAATGGACATGACAAGTAAGTAATAAGCACAGTCAAAACATAACTTTCTCTAAAATACAATCTAAACCATCTTTGTGATTTTAGGGTATGGTATAAAGTTGTGGAGTATGAAGTAGTTCTTTTCTGTACTGACGAGGAAACTATCCGAACTCATGTTTCATTTTCGAGCTCAAATTTGACCGTAAGTAGGGCCCTAAGAGACTCAAAAGGCCTCAAAACTGTTCATGTTCATCGTCGTTTAATCAACAATTATAGAGACATTGCTTTATTTGCTACCGTATACCACGGTGTTTTTGAGAAAACCGAGTGATGAAATTTTAGATTATGGTTTTTTCTGTCGATATATCTCATTCACAAGATATTTCATGGACTGAAAGGCTCCGGTTTACTTATTTCAATACAAACCAAAAATGTCTGTCTCTAACACTTTTCAACTATTATCTGCACCATCCTAATGTCCTTTCTCTTGTTTCATATCTAGACAAATACATCGACAATAAGTATTGTTTTTTCTTCTTTGCGTTCACATCTTTGTCTATTTATTCTAATATCCACCAAGAACATTTCAGGCAAAAACTTTCCCATTCGAATAACTTAAAAAATGCTGTGATATAGAACTTAAAATAAAGAAACATAAGTTATGATTCGGTGCACAATTACATTTGAATTGAAACTATCAACATGTTTGTAGCACATTATCTTCCCTGTGTTTCTCGTTGCCACACAAAAAGACATTTTAGACTTCTTGTCTTATTATTCCTCAAAAATTACAAGTGAAACAAGACAAAAAACTATAATGAAAATAGTACAATAGGAACGGCTGACATAACTATGATTGTATCTATTTTACATTCTTTTGTGTTTTTCTGAAATTTTTTCGAATCATATAATAGTGTTCTACGATTTTCTCTATGCCCATACAACGATCAAAGAACTATCAGAGTTAAACAGACATTCCGAAAATAGTTAGCCTGATTTTTTTTTTTGAAAAAGAAATAGAACGAGCACCTTGCACTTTTGTTCTGTTTGGTCGTTCGTGTCATCAAGATTATTTCCTCAAAATAGCAAACATATTTATCTATCTAAAATCTTTGTCAATTTTTAGCAAGCAGCATCCAAGTCTAAAGTATTCTACCATGGCAATCCTAATCGTGACAATAATTTTTGGGTTTATCCACGAAATAAAAAACTGGAAGTTCCTCAATGGAATACTTACAATGCAGATGATCTATGTAATAATTATACTTATCTCGGAACCAGTGGATGATCTGAACTAAAGACATATCGATGTAATGGTCATAAAAAGTAAGTAATAAGCGCAGTCAAAACACAACTTTTCTTAAATTAAATCTGAACTAACCGTCTCGTTTCATAGTGCATCAGATGGTGGTACTGTTCAAGGTCAATCCTGTATCAGAAAAAAAGCCTGAGGTTAAAGGATAGGCGAAAGGCCTTTTTCCACCTTCTGAAAAGAAGTCAAGATGTTTATTTTTCTTGGTTTTTTTTCTCTTTTATGTTATACTACTGTTTTGTATGCATGTTTTTGATACAGCTATTTGCGCTTTCCGATGTTGGTTCTTACGTAGACGACAAAACAAAATGATGATGGTTAAAATCGAAAGTTGTACCCTCAACAGATTTTAACTTGAGAATAATTTTTGTTGTTGTGCTTCTTCACATATATTCCACTCGGCTAAAACCTGTGTTTGCTAGTATGACGTATAGAGCTTACTAACAGTTTTTCAATAAATTTTCGACACGTTTGATTCAATTCTAAAATACCGATGTGTGGAAAAAGCCAAAATGCAGCAAACAAGATAGCACTGTAAGGGTAAAAGTAATTTTCAGTACACTTGAGTAGTAGATTTTATTGCCGACGAAAATTTCTCTGATTGAATGGCATGAGACTATAGAACTTACATCGATGAAGTCAATGACGAAGTAGAGAAAAAATTCTTCTTTACGCTCGCATACTTTTGTTTGCAATACTCATTTGCGTCTCTTCAATATGTTTTGATTGTTGAGCACATGTATACATCGATAGCTAGAAGATAATTTGCACAGTAAGTTCTCTTTTATTATTTAATCTGTATTTGCAGACTTTTCCAGATGATATTGTTAATGTATGAAAAACTCACCGTTATCAATATATAATTAAACAGAATATATGCATCAGAAGGAAAATACAGTTGCATTCATGGAGTCCATCGTATACACGGATCTGTGGAAATAGCGCACAAAATAAATAATATATATTTATATTCCGAAAGACAACAAAGATATAAAGAGGTAACAGAAATAACAAAATTTTTATTTTATTGACAAGATCATAAATATATATATATACTTAGGGATATCAAAAGTTCTGACCACAACGTTTAAAAGACCTTTTCGGATGAGAGGACCTATTAAGAGATGAAAAACCAAATATACCATGTTACAGAGCTTTTTGAAGTGGATCGAATGGTATATAGTAAATCTTCTTTTCATAGGACTTTGAAGGACCTAGAAATCAATTAACTAATAGACGACTACACACTCACACCCGCCCATACCCATACTGGCAAGATGACCGGAGATGCGGCATATAGGACGTTGTAGCTCGTCAAAAACTCTACAAAATTGTATGTGAGAAGAAATATTTCATAAATACTTTCGACTAATACCAAGGACCACAATATTCAGTAACTTAACATACTTGGGTGTGGCTGTGTAGTCGTCTATCAATAAATTGACTCTAGTTCCTTTAAAGTCCTATGAAAATAGGATTTACTATATATCATTCAACGCACCTCAAAAAGTTCTACAACATGATACATTTGGTTTTTCATTTCTCAATAGATCACGTTACCCGGCAAGGTCCTTTAAACGCCGTGGTCAGAACTTTCGATATGCCCTAAGTACATTTCAAATATTTGTAGCACTATCAAATGACTAAATTTATATTAGAAAGAAAATAACAAAAAGGTGTTAATGCACAGCAACACGAGAAAAAAAAAAGAGAAATATGCGAGAGTACACATTAATTTAAAAAAAAAAAAAAAATTTCTGTTGATCATTTCGAAAGTTTACTAATAACACGAATTAATGCAGCATTTTCTTCTTTTAGACGTATATTGTCTGCTTTTATTGAATCGATTTTCTTTAAAATCAAAACATTTAACAAATCTTTTAATAAAAAAAAGAAAAAGAACTGTATACTTACTTTTAACTCTTCTTCCAATTCCGATATTTTTTGTTCATAAACTCGCTTTTCCTATATTAAGAAAAATCAAATTAAAATTCAATTTGATACTGATGTGGATATCAAAAAGAAAATTATCACCTATTTGACAATATTATCAAATTTAGGAGTTATATTTACATGCTTAGGAGTATTTTATTTAACTTAACAGTTATTATTCTGACACAATAGAATAGAAAAAAAAAAGAAAAACGATGAATCTAGTGAAAAGTTCTGATCAAGTTTCAATCTAAATACGATATGATTATGATAGAAATTTTTATATGTAATTAAATAAATAAAATCTTTTCATTTCGTCTGCCGATGAAGCAAGAAGGTTTAGTTATCTTGTCTTTGCCTTCAACGATATGAATATCCTATTATGACGAGCTGAGTGTGTAATATTACAACTACTTTTAGTAATGTTGTTGATTGGGCTACTCGATCACTTCAATGATGTCTATCTCATATGTAATACAGATTTTTATGAAGAAAAACATGAAAAAAACTTGTGGGCACACAACCCCTTTAGGATTGAAATGTAGAATTTCCATGTATTCTTTAGCCTCATTATACTAATATAAAATGAAAAATCTCTAGCAGACTATAGCTGTTTTTCAAGGATAATCGGTCATAAGGGAAACGATTTGTCTTATTTATTTCTGTACTTCGAATAAAAAGTTCGCTCGTTGTTTCTTAGTTTTATATTCCATTTTTCTTAATTTAACATTACTATTATTCTAACCATTGATTTAACTGACAAATAAGCCTGCTATATATCTCCGTGGTCAAAATAAACGGCACACCTTGTTTTTCCAAGTGTATCTCTCTAGCTTTCTCGTTCAGTCTCATATTTATACCGTAGATACAGCTTTGATTAATCGACTCACTCTGAAAATTTCAGCCTTATACTACGAGTTTTTAATGAGAAAAATAAAAATATGCGAGTTCTACTCATTTAGCAGTGTGCCCAAGATTTGTTATTTTGTTGATTTTTCTATTATTTCAGTTTTCATCTGAAATCTCAGATTGCAGTTAGATAGCTTTTATACGTGGCTATACAGAGATAGATCTTAAGATGTATCTCTGTATAGCCACGTATAAAAACTACATAACTGCAGTCTGAGATTCCAGATGAAAGCTGAAATAATAGAAAAATCAACAAAATAACAAATTTTGGGGACACTGCTAAATGAGTAGAACTCGCATATTTTTATTTTTCTCATTAAAGACTCGTAGTATAAGGCTGAAATTTTCAGGGTGAGTCGATTAATCAAAGATATATCTATGGTATAAATATGAGACTGAACGAGAAAGCTAAAGAGATATACTTGGAAAAATAGGGTGTGCTGTTTATTTTGACCTGAGGGATATATTCATTATGTCTACAGGAAGTCTCATATATTTTTTATGTTGATCATATAATGACTATAGCAAGTCTCTGCATCACTACCCATCATCCTTAGCATCTTCAATATAAATTTTTTTTTTGTACAAAAATCCAAAACTGCATTATTTAGAACATTCATAAACGTATTCTAACCATTCAAATTCCAAAGAAGGCTTTAGAATTTTCTAGAACAGTCTAAGTCTTGTTATTAATGTTATTCAGTGCCTTTTCCCATTGCTATAAAGAGCTCTGGAAAATGAGTCTGACGCCTGTTATCCTTGGCTGCTCGAGTGAAATATGCCTAAAGTTGACGTTAAACATTGTATCGATTTTATTTTCGTTTCTCATGTTGTTTCCTTGTTTTTCATAAAAATATATTGCGATAATTACTTTAGAATTGTATTCAGCCTGTGAATCAGCAAATGTACGAATTTTGTTTATTTACTAACGACGATATGTATTCTAAAATTTCTGACTATCTAAATTGTGAACAATGAGATCTTTCAAGTAGTAAGAGATTGTTTTCTTTTACTAATGTCTTATTTATTCATACTTACTCGTTTATCAAACGATGATTCAAAATATTGAGATGTTTTCTAGAAAATTTAAAGTTATATAAATATAAGTTTATAATAAACATACGAGATTTTCAATGATTTGATCTCGTTTATCAAGATCTTTTTCTAACCAATCAACTTTTTCATTTAATTGATCAATGATTTTTTTTGTATCTTCATATAATTTGATCATTATTAAATCATCATTATCTTTTTTTAAATTAATTTCATTAACTAATAAAGATTTTGTTATTGTTAATGGTTTTTTTGATGATTCTTGATTTTGTGAACGATTTATTCTTGATGGTGAATTTATCGATTCTTTTGTACTATTTTCAAATCGAGATATAATACTATGACAATTATTCATTGATGATTGCTGAACATTTTTATCATTTGAAGCTTCATTAAATGTTTTTCGAATTGAAGAATTATCTCGAATTTCAACTTGTTTGGTTTCCTGTAAAATTCAAAATTTGAGATATTAAACAATGAAAAAAAAAAGATCTCGTACATCATTCCATATGATTCTTCCAGTATTTCTTCTTTGATTATGTACACGGCTTAGTTTTCGTCGAACTTGCTGAAAATTAACAAGATTTAATGAATCATTTGCAACTATTGTTGGAAGATCATCTCCTGATGCAAATTCAGATTTGATTGGATATAATGCTTTAGTATTCATCTTAATCATATTCTATTCTATATAAAAAGTGTTCACTCTTTATGTAGAAATCATTATTAAATAGAATCTAGAAAAATATCAGAGCTTATATTCTCTTCAACAGACATATCTGAACATTTGTGATTTTTGTTCCTCTAAAATCAAGAATAAACTGTTCTATCTGCTTTTTTTATTCGATTGAGAACAATACTCATTAAGTACATTCTCAACAATTCAAAAAAGAAAACAAATAATTTTTCAACCAAATTCATATTTGTCAAAATATCATTGTTGAAATTGACATCAATCGATCAATTCAAAATATTTGAGAACTTATTTAAAATTTTACTATTAAAATAAAAAGTTGACTTTTGAAAAAAATCTAATATACATTTTAATAAACATTATACAATGATTGAAAAAAATTTTGAATTTGATTATTTTCGAAAAGTTCGCTGTTGATTGAATAGACACAATGATCCTGAGTCTTCGAATAGTATTGCTTTGAAATATATATATATATAAGATTGAATTTTCACATGAAATTTTATTTTTACCTGATTGTTTTTCACTTTCTCTTCAAACTATATCTTTTTTTATTCTTGAATAATTTTTGTGTAAACGTTCAGTTTCAATATCATGTACACTACTCAATAATGCTGTTGATTTCTACAACTGAAATTCACTACAAATATTTGATCTCTTCAGAAACAAGCCATGGATACAAACTTTATTTGTAGTAGACATAGGTTAACTAAAGTCTACAACATGTACTAAGTCTCAATTCAAAAGCAAACGAACACCTGGAAATGTTTCCTCATGAGAAAAATTTTCTAACCCTAATCCTATCCTACTCTACAGGGTAGGGTAACCCTGCACATCTCTAATAATAGTGATGTTTCATTTGGTTGATTTTTAATTTGTTGTTTAGCTGCTTTTATATCTTCAACAATAAAACTATGTGTCGATCGACGTTTTTCACCAGTTGAATCATTAAATGAATTTGAAGAGGATCTTGTTGATCGAGAAAGAGAACTTTTTACACTGACATGAGTTAACGGTACAACTCAAATCGATCCATTAAGACTAACATCAGATCGATAATGAACATAAGGAACGGTGTTATTTGCTGAATCATTTACTCTTCAATCAATTGTATTCAATCTAAATAATGATTAGATAAGAAAACAAAGTTAAATGATGAGAAGAACGCATGTCACAATCGGAATATATTGACAGGCAAAAGACTTACATATAAAGTTTTATCAGAAAAATACTATCTGAATATCATCACTGGTTGTACTTCATTGACACTAGACTAATAGGGATTAATTAAAACAGTATTTATATAAAACAAATGAATATTTTAATTAAAATGATGTATATCTAATACCTTGTCTATTTTCGACTGATTTTGAAATCCACTGATTGAAAAATGGAAGATATAGCATCTGTAGAATTTTCCTAGAAAAAAAGAAACATCTTTTAATATTTGATCACATAAAAATTCTTCTCTTGGATATAAAATTTTCTTTTGTGAAAATATTCATCTATCTATCTTCTCAAAATCTCATGATAAACCTAATCTATTCATGTTAATATTTGAATATTGTTATTAAACTAGTCTATGATATCATGATATTATCAAATGAGTTCAATTCAATGTTTCATTGGTCATCTACAGTAAAGTATTAAACCTGGAAAAGGGATGATATGCATAAATTATTTAACACGTAATGCATGCATTATTCAAACAAAAGATAAAAAGCACAATGTCTCGATTCTATACATTAAGAAATAATGTATCAAAAACAACAAAATAAAAAGATATTTCCATCGTTATTTTTCTTTTCTACAATTAACTTTATTATCTTACATGATTAGAATGATTGATTATTATTGAAATTTCTTGTTGTTAATGAGAGTAACGAATTTGTAAATATTCTTTATGTAGTTGATAATGAATATGTAAAATTTAATCGTAATAAAGAAGAATTTGTAGTTAATAGACTAGACAATATTTCTTCTTGAATATCATTTATTTAAAAATAATGTAATGATCTTTGAAAATTATGTAATTTCTCCTAGATTAAAAAAAAATTAAAAAAAATAAAATCTTATTTTATTTATTAAACTACAAAATCAACTTTAAGATTAGGTCAATAGTTTCATAAATTCTCATTAATATTATATTAAATATATATAAGTAGATGCAAGTTTTTATTTTGTAAACAAATAATTTATTTACCTGAATAAGTTTATTCATCGTATCGAAAATTTTCATTTTATGATTTAGAGGATAAAATTGATTTTTTCAAAATAAATTTTAATATTAATATATTTTTGTTTCGAATACATCGATTGTTTCGTTCTACAATAAAACATTTTATTAATATAAAAATTTTAAAATTCTTCAAATAGTATACCTTAACAAAAGTTTGTTTTTAGTTTAATTCTTTTAAACTAATTTTAAAAAACTTAGTTTTATAAAGATAATGTTTTTATTACACAAATTTTTTTTTGCATCTAAATCTACATTTCATTCAATAAGATTTTTAATAATATGTTATTTAGTTCAATGTGCAGTTTCATGTAATGATGTTCAATCATCATTATCAACTGATTTTATATGTCTAGTTTCAGTTTATTGACCATTGACGTCAACCGACTCAGTATAGTGCTCGTTGAAACACCAGAACACACCGCTACAAAAATGGTATTTGATGTCTTAATGTTGTAGCGAACGGGGATGTCAGTGTAACCTGTGTCAGTGGTTCAATATCAGGATTTACTCCAACACTGCACATTCCTATTCGCACCAACATGTATTAAAAGACTAAACATACAAAAACAAAAATTGAAATTATCAAAAAATGATTTGTTCTCGTTTGAATAAAAGCTTGTTAATATGTGTTAGATTGTCGAACAAAGAAAATCAAAATACTGAATTATTAAAACTTCAATTCACTATATAACTTTCCATTTCATTATGCAAAATGTTTTTAATTTTCTAACATATCTGTCGACGTGAGATGAAATATTTTCATCGATGATCTAAGATTAAAAACTAAGAAAAGCATATTGCCATTGCAACGGGAGGGTCATTTCGAGTAGACTGACAATTAAACAAGATCCACTTGAGTTTCTTTTGATCGTATATAACATAAATTTCAAATCTGTAGTTTCATCCGAAAGAGTCTTCTTTCAGGTTCAATTGATTTTCATTCAAATACGTGCTCTACATCGAATTCGTTCTATTTAGTGATAAAACAACCTTTGAGTCAATGTTTTATCTTGATTCTCTCTTATTTAGAGATGATTTAAAAGTATGGAATGACAAACTCGATCTTTGGAGGGACGCTGCTTCCTCGACTTCCAAGCTAGATAAAACATTGTCTTGAGCCCGTTCTCGGCTCAGAACTGAAATGATATTTTATTAAAATTTAACGAATATAGTCCTTTTTAGCTCCGGAGAAGATCTTCCTCCAATTTTGTTTCCGGTTCGATCACTATTCTCGACATTTATCTATTGCACTTGTTTAACAATTTATTTCGTCAAATAAACAAGAATTTATTTTCGTTAACATTAGATTTGATTCATATCGAACGGATAACAAATAAACAAAACACGAATATACATCAATCATAAGATGGTCAATTCAATTGTATAATTTTATTATTATTATATTAATCAAATTTGTTTTAGTTATTCAACTATTATTTTATTTTAATGAATAATAAAATACTTTTTTTATAAAAAAAAAAACAAAAAAACTTTATACTTTTTCTAACAAACGATGTCACTAATAGACGATGATTCATTGGTTCTTGAGTAACAAATTACATGTTGCATTCACTTACGAAATATACTTACGTAAATTTTTTTCTTCTTTGCATAAATATTACTGTGAAAGAGAGAAAAAGAAACGACTTGAAAACAGAGAAAGAAAAATGTCGAAAAAATTTGGCATCAATACAAAGTCAGCGGAAGCTCGTGCAAGAAAAGATGCTGTTAAACAAGCTGGTGAACGAGAAAAACAACAACGTTTAGAAGATGAATATTGGCGTGATGATGATAAACAAATTCAAAAAAAACAACAAAGAAAAGTAAATTTATTTTCTGATTTTTTTTTCATATTTAATGATTAAAAACTTTCGACTATTCATCTCCAATAGAATTGTTAGTTCAAAAATGAGATTAAAGATATTAATATGTTTAGGTTTTTGTTTTGGGCAAGCAATAAAATATTATTTAGCATTTGTTATAGAAAATCTTGTTTATATTCGATTTTACCCTTTATCGAATATAAATTCTATCATAAAATGTCTCTCGTCTGTTCTAAAACGTCGCGACGAGTTTCGAAATGTTCCTATGACAATAACGAAAAAAATATTTTTTGAAACTTTTCTTTTAAAAAATTTTTTTAGAAATGTCTTTTTTCCTCGTGTAAATGACAAAATAGAGAACAACTAGGAAACGCTTGTTCTACCTACTGAAAAAAAACATCACAGAAGAAATTAGTTTGGAGAAAACAAAATTATTTTCATGCTCGGTATATTTTTTCAATAAAATCTGATTGATAGATCGACAGTTGTAGTCATAATTCTAGTGATAAATAAATCATTTCATTGAAATAATCATCACAAGTGAATTTCTGTTAATAAAAAAGAACAAAAATTTATTTCGTAGTTATCTAATATGACAGATGGTTCATCAATTCAAGATCTTTGAAATACAAACTTATTGAATTCGAATTGATATAAGAATAAATTTTATTAGTAAAGTGATTTTCATCGAAATTGAACTTTTCATTGTTAGTTCTTGTTTGTATGTTCATTCCAAATATCCATGAAAAATCAATATTCGATAACTAAAAACTTGACTTGTTTTTTTTATTTTTATGTAGAATCACTGTTCTTAAAAATGTTAGAATTGAGTGATCTTTCGAAAATAACAGTATGAAATTTTTTTTATTTTCATCAAAAGATGCTTTTCATAATCAGAACGAATTTTATTATTT